ATTAAAATACTTTTAAATTCATTGTGTTATTCCTTTTGTTATAATTTTAAATCAACTGTAACTTAAAAAAAAAATAATAATATTATTATAACATTTATACAAAATTTAAATTTAATTTTAATTAAAAAAGATAAAACTATTTTATTTTAAAATAAACGAAAATTAAATTGAAGAAAAAAAAATATGAAGATCAAATTAAATATTAAACATTCATCTTGATATATATTGATCCTAGCATGATACTGTATTAACATGTGAACAATTTTTTAAGTTAAAAAACTTAAGAAAAATTAAAAAATAAAAAAATCCAAAAAACAAATCATGAAATAATGTGAAAAATATAATTAACTGTTTGTTAATTATTTGTACAATTTTAAAAAAACCAAACTCAACAAAATTCACAAAAATTAAAAGAAAATTAAAAAGAAAATTAAACTAAATTAAATAAAATCAAAAAATAAATGAAGTGGTTTTCTTACCACGAAAGTGGTTTTCCCCTCCCGACGTCCTCTCCGCGTGATGTAGTGTTTTATCTACGTGGCGAAAAAAATATATAGTTTGAGATTCTTATCCAATAAAAATAATTACTTTATAACTTAGTTTAATAATATATTAATAAATAATACAAAACTATTAATATATTAATGGTTAAGTCATTGTCGTTTGTGACCGTGTTAAATATGCTGCTAGTCTTAATTCTTTTTTTATATTCTCAAAATGCATGGTAGATAATAATTTTGATGTTTTTAAAATATATTAAGTTATTTTAATATATTATATGTTTTTATAAAGCTAAGTTGAATGTGTACTTCACAAAACCTTCAATAATTTCATAAATATTTTTAACTTTTAATTTCTAAATTTCTAAAATACTCATGTTCCTCCCTAGTATTTGACGTTGATAAAATAAATGATATTATATATCCAGAAGATACTCTGGTGTTTAAGTGAATCAATTAAATCAGTATAATATTAAATGTGTAATTAATAAAAATGTAAACAAAAAGTCTTAATACAAAAATACAAAAAGAGTGTCTTGTATTTTTGTTGTCTTTGTGTCTAGTTGAGTTATGAATTGCAAGAGTTGTCGAATATTGCACAAGTTCTTAAGGAGAGAATGATATTTATTACTTTCTACATTGCGACCGATGTACTTATCGTTGGTTTTGCAACCAACATAGTGTTGGTAGTCAAGTATCAATGTTGTCGGACACATCTTTGTCCTATGGTATGGGGTGAGATGGAGGTATAATCAAAGAGAATAAGGAGGACCCTGCAGAGGAGCATGTTGAGTTTGGATTACCTAAGAGGCGAGGGTACGAGTCGGTAAACCCCTTAGTTAAAAGTTATTTCTCCAAGTTCAGGTAGTCTAGTATTTTAAATTCTTGGTTAAACAACATCTATGTTTTTTATAGGGGAGTGTCTGTTGATTGCAAAACCAACGACAAATGCACTACTAGTCATAGCGTAACAAGTGATAAATATCATTCTCTCCTATGAGACTTGTGTAACACTTAACAATTCTCGCAATTCACAACTCACTTAAACACAAAGATAACAAAAACACAAGAAACTCTTTTTTGTATTTTTATCAAACAGTTGGTATGCACGAAAATATAACATATAGTATTTACAACTTGTTAAGAATAGAGTTCATGCACTTCGTTCTCATGCATTAACAAACACCTCAATTCTATGCATGTCAAAATCAACTCACCAATATACTCAAATCCTATCCCTAGTGACTTTGAGCCTATGATAACAATCCCTCAAGTCCTCAACCAACAATCAAGCATTAAGTTAAGAGTCTTAAAATTACTAATGAATCGTTTTCTATCTCTAGATACAAACTCTATTAGGTATTAAATTTCAGTTATAGGTTCAAGTCATACTTTTAAATACATAAAGAACCGCAAATCAAGCAAAGGATGATCAAGCCATAACAAGCATTAAGCATATAAATCAAATACTAACTTTGAAATAAAAAGGTGTATGTATTAACATCACAAAATACATAAGATTCAGTTTATTATATCTAATCTCAACAAATAAGAATAGTCTTCCATGGTGGACAAATTAGGGTTCTATAAATTGAAGAGATAAGAAAAAAATTGAAACCAAAGATAGACGCACGCCCTTTCCCAATGTTTTTGGCAACTACTTTATGCTCTAATTGTGCCTCTTCTTTGCATCAACACCTCTAATTTGTGACCTATCTTTCTAGTTCTCCACACAACCTCTAAGATTCTTTTCCCAACACCCTAAGTGATTTTATTAATGTAATATTGAGGAATTATAAAAACTTGCAAAAACATGATTAAATGCCCACTTTCGTGTATCAGAACTAACAGACTCGCCCATCAACTTCATTATCGCTAAACAAAGCCTAAAAATTGATGCTATTTGACTTGTAACTCGTTGTACGAGCCATTTTTTGCCTAGCGACTCAAATACTACAAGTTTGGGCTATCATTTTGGTCCAGTGAGCAACCAACTCGCCCATCGAGTTAGCCTAACACATAATGATGATTTTTTTGTCGTCCATGGGTGGTATGTGGCAACATAACCCTATAAGTGAGTCTTTTCTTCATGCTTACAACCTTGGGTGCGATTCTAGAGTCTTTAAGTGGGTATTTGTTTAAAAATAATTCTTTCTTGTCCAATCATGCTTTCTTNTCTATAAATTGAAGAGATAAGAAAAAAATTGAAACCAAAGATAGACGCACGCCCTTTCCCAAAGTTTTTGGAAACTACTTTATGCTCTAATTGTGCCTCTTCTTTGCATCAACACCTCTAATTTGTGACCTATATTTCTAGTTCTCCACACAACCTCTAAGATTCTATTCCCAACACCCTAAGTGATTTTATTAATGTAATATTGAGGAATTATAAAAACTTGCAAAAACATGATTAAATGCCCACTTTCGTGTATCAAAACTAACAGACTCGCCCATCAACTTCATTATCGCTAAACAAAGCCTAAAAATTGATGCTATTTGACTTGTAACTCGTTGTACAAGCCATTTTTAGCCTAGAGACTCAAATACTACAAGTTTGGGCTATCATTTTGGACCAGTGAGCAACCAACTCGCCCATCGAGTTAGCCTAACACATAATGATGATTTTTTTGTCGTCCATGGGTGGTATGTGGCAACATAACCCTATAAGTGAGTCTTTTCTTCATGCTTACAACCTTGGGTGCGATTCTAGAGTCTTTAAGTGGGTATTTGTTTAAAAATAATTCTTTCTTGTCCAATCATGCTTTCTTGAATTCCAACTTATTTTCCTTCACCAGAATTGATTTTTATTTCCTTATTTTACACACTCAAAGAGAGATTAAAGGTAAAACAAACATATACTAACTAAAACACAAAAACACACTAAACTTGGGAAAAAGTAAGGTAAAAGTTGTAAAAGAGTTGATTTATTCATGAAAGTATACACACAAAAACACGTAAACTCAATACTTATTAGTGTCTGAAGACATTGTGTCTCTTAAGAGGGTAAATGTAATTGATAATGTCTATCATGGCCGAGAGGAGTATGGGGAGGAGTTCTATTTTTGTTTATATGGAATTTTTTGTTTAGTTAACGTTCGTCTACCCTTTGACGAGTTTACAATGGGTGTACTCAGACTTCTGAACGTAGCTCCAATGCTATTACATTTGAATAGTTGGTATTGCCTTTAAGCCTTTAGGTTAATATGTAAATCTTTATATCTATCTCCTTCTCTTGATTTTTTTTTTTGTACTTTTACCTTACATGGTAATTGGATCCGAATACCTGGTTTTCCTTGGGAAGCAAGTCAGGTACCTACCTCTTAGGTGCATACTCTCAATCTTTCAAGAAATTAAAGAATGATTTTTTCAGGGTAATGATTAACCCTGCTGGTTGCTCATACTTTTATGATGATAAAAGTAATAAGAAGTTTTCTTTCTATTGGACCACAACTCTTTAGGTACAAGGAAGGATTGAAGGACATCTTGTCTGAGGAGAAGCGAAGAATAGTGGGGATATTGGAACAAATCCTAAAGAAGTTATCGATTAAGAATATTGTTAGGGTTTACTTATCCACTAAGCTTCGAGTTGAATGGTAAGTGTAGAATATATATTGTAACTTGAATATTTTTTTGAACAAGTCTAAAGATTTTGTGGTGCTTGCAAGTTACATGGCTCAACATTATGCCAAGGTAGAAACGAGCAAGGACATATTTCACCGCCTAAAGAACCAATTGGCCAATGAGGCCAAGAAGAGTGGGAACATTGTTGTTCCCAACTTGCAAGGATCAGTGGTGGATACCCATCGGCCAACAAGTGGCAATAAAAGGCTCGTTCCTTTGAAGCAGAGAGGGTGTTAGAAAAGATAGAAAGAAACTAAGGGTTGAGTTGTTTGGCGATGTTGGAGGTTCGACTATAAGGAACAAATAATTCGACTTAGGTGGTTTAGAAGGTCCTTTAATCGTGATGAGGAAAGAATTGTTGACCAACCTAAAGAACAGTGTGTTAAAGCTAGTGGAGGAGACTAATTTGACTATTTTTGTCTTAATCATGTTCTAATCCCAAAAACGATACCTTATTATAGATCAATCACAATTCACCTATCGTAGAGTTTGGCTAAGACAAATCTTAAACAAATAAAAATATAAACAATAAATAAATAAAAGAAAACAATAACAAGACCTACAGTCATACAAATATTGAAACAAATGCCTTAACTTAGGAAATTTAGTCCCTTTGTTAAATTCTTCAATACAAATGTCTAAATTTAGTTTTTTAAAATTGTTACTATACACAATAAACTTAAAAGATTTTACCAAAATATATTATTAGCATATTTTAAGTTATTATATTAATAGAATTATCATCACTTAAAAATTAAAAGTTTAAGCGGCTAATAATACATAAAAAATTTAGGCTAGTTCTTCATTCTCAAAATTCCCAGGATTTATAAATTAAAAGATTTTAAATATTTACAAAAACGTGTTGTTTATAAACGATACTACCGATATTTGTTATGGTAAAGGAAGCGGCTTTCCTGAGAAGTTGGGAAGAAGAGAGTGGTGAGTGAGAGTGAGAAATCAGAAGAGAGAGAGAGAGAGATGGAGGTTGGATTCTTAGGTTTGGGGATAATGGGCAAGGCTATGGCAACCAACTTGCTACGCCATGGCTTCAAAGTCACTGTTTGGAACAGAACCCTCTCCAAGGTCTCAATACACATTCCTCCAACTTTTTCAAGTTTCACTTTTTTCTTTACTGTTACGTTTGTGTGTGTCCATACAATGATTTCTTTCAATAATACTGGTTCATTATTATGGTTAATATGAGTTTCTGCATTTTTTTTTTGTGTAATTTTAATTTGGGGTTCCGTAGAATAGTTTCTTCTCATATGTCATTAACCATACTTCAAGTTGCACAGAAAGTTATGAGCTGAGGTATTGCTCCTGGCGTTTTGGAATGCAGCTTAGCAAATTTATCTGTTTTCTTATAGATGATGTCAGACAAGTGACTTCAGAAAATTGTGATACAGATTTAGCTCTCTAAAATAAGGGTTAAGTAAGTAATCTCATCTGTTGTTGAGAAAATCAACTGTTGATATTGTCGTAAAAAAGCTGACAGAAGATAATAAAAGTAACAAACAAAGATTTCCCTAGATCACTGTCAACATTGTTACAACAATTTTAAGGACGCGATGTGTTATACAAGTTTTCTCATATACAACAGGAACTTCTTGATAATTTCGAGGATACAAAACTAGCAAGTAATAACGAAACCTAGGATATAAAGAAGATAAGAGAAGTTAGAAGAACCGAGAATAAAGTTCGTGGAATAATATTTCTTTTTGAGAGGGAAGAAAGAGCTTGTTTTTGGTTATCCTCTTGGAATGAGGTGCTCTATTTATAGAGCTATAATCAGAAGGGTAACGACCCAATGGTCAAGACTTGCGGACTACTCTTTGCATAACGGTTTTGACNCGAGTCGGTAAACCCCTTAGTTAAAAGTTATTTCTCCAAGTTCAGGTAGTCTAGTATTTTAAATTCTTGGTTAAACAACATCTATGTTTTTTATAGGGGAGTGTCTGTTGATTGCAAAACCAACGACAAATGCACTACTAGTCATAGCGTAACAAGTGATAAATATCATTCTCTCCTATGAGACTTGTGTAACACTTAACAATTCTCGCAATTCACAACTCACTTAAACACAAAGATAACAAAAACACAAGAAACTCTTTTTTGTATTTTTATCAAACAGTTGGTATGCACGAAAATATAACATATAGTATTTACAACTTGTTAAGAATAGAGTTCATGCACTTCGTTCTCATGCATTAACAAACACCTCAATTCTATGCATGTCAAAATCAACTCACCAATATACTCAAATCCTATCCCTAGTGACTTTGAGCCTATGATAACAATCCCTCAAGTCCTCAACCAACAATCAAGCATTAAGTTAAGAGTCTTAAAATTACTAATGAATCGTTTTCTATCTCTAGATACAAACTCTATTAGGTATTAAATTTCAGTTATAGGTTCAAGTCATACTTTTAAATACATAAAGAACCGCAAATCAAGCAAAGGATGATCAAGCCATAACAAGCATTAAGCATATAAATCAAATACTAACTTTGAAATAAAAAGGTGTATGTATTAACATCACAAAATACATAAGATTCAGTTTATTATATCTAATCTCAACAAATAAGAATAGTCTTCCATGGTGGACAAATTAGGGTTCTATAAATTGAAGAGATAAGAAAAAAATTGAAACCAAAGATAGACGCACGCCCTTTCCCAATGTTTTTGGCAACTACTTTATGCTCTAATTGTGCCTCTTCTTTGCATCAACACCTCTAATTTGTGACCTATCTTTCTAGTTCTCCACACAACCTCTAAGATTCTTTTCCCAACACCCTAAGTGATTTTATTAATGTAATATTGAGGAATTATAAAAACTTGCAAAAACATGATTAAATGCCCACTTTCGTGTATCAGAACTAACAGACTCGCCCATCAACTTCATTATCGCTAAACAAAGCCTAAAAATTGATGCTATTTGACTTGTAACTCGTTGTACGAGCCATTTTTTGCCTAGCGACTCAAATACTACAAGTTTGGGCTATCATTTTGGTCCAGTGAGCAACCAACTCGCCCATCGAGTTAGCCTAACACATAATGATGATTTTTTTGTCGTCCATGGGTGGTATGTGGCAACATAACCCTATAAGTGAGTCTTTTCTTCATGCTTACAACCTTGGGTGCGATTCTAGAGTCTTTAAGTGGGTATTTGTTTAAAAATAATTCTTTCTTGTCCAATCATGCTTTCTTGAATTCCAACTTATTTTCCTTCACCAGAATTGATTTTTATTTCCTTATTTTACACACTCAAAGAGAGATTAAAGGTAAAACAAACATATACTAACTAAAACACAAAAACACACTAAACTTGGGAAAAAGTAAGGTAAAAGTTGTAAAAGAGTTGATTTATTCATGAAAGTATACACACAAAAACACGTAAACTCAATACTTATTAGTGTCTGAAGACATTGTGTCTCTTAAGAGGGTAAATGTAATTGATAATGTCTATCATGGCCGAGAGGAGTATGGGGAGGAGTTCTATTTTTGTTTATATGGAATTTTTTGTTTAGTTAACGTTCGTCTACCCTTTGACGAGTTTACAATGGGTGTACTCAGACTTCTGAACGTAGCTCCAATGCTATTACATTTGAATAGTTGGTATTGCCTTTAAGCCTTTAGGTTAATATGTAAATCTTTATATCTATCTCCTTCTCTTGATTTTTTTTTTTGTACTTTTACCTTACATGGTAATTGGATCCGAATACCTGGTTTTCCTTGGGAAGCAAGTCAGGTACCTACCTCTTAGGTGCATACTCTCAATCTTTCAAGAAATTAAAGAATGATTTTTTCAGGGTAATGATTAACCCTGCTGGTTGCTCATACTTTTATGATGATAAAAGTAATAAGAAGTTTTCTTTCTATTGGACCACAACTCTTTAGGTACAAGGAAGGATTGAAGGACATCTTGTCTGAGGAGAAGCGAAGAATAGTGGGGATATTGGAACAAATCCTAAAGAAGTTATCGATTAAGAATATTGTTAGGGTTTACTTATCCACTAAGCTTCGAGTTGAATGGTAAGTGTAGAATATATATTGTAACTTGAATATTTTTTTGAACAAGTCTAAAGATTTTGTGGTGCTTGCAAGTTACATGGCTCAACATTATGCCAAGGTAGAAACGAGCAAGGACATATTTCACCGCCTAAAGAACCAATTGGCCAATGAGGCCAAGAAGAGTGGGAACATTGTTGTTCCCAACTTGCAAGGATCAGTGGTGGATACCCATCGGCCAACAAGTGGCAATAAAAGGCTCGTTCCTTTGAAGCAGAGAGGGTGTTAGAAAAGATAGAAAGAAACTAAGGGTTGAGTTGTTTGGCGATGTTGGAGGTTCGACTATAAGGAACAAATAATTCGACTTAGGTGGTTTAGAAGGTCCTTTAATCGTGATGAGGAAAGAATTGTTGACCAACCTAAAGAACAGTGTGTTAAAGCTAGTGGAGGAGACTAATTTGACTATTTTTGTCTTAATCATGTTCTAATCCCAAAAACGATACCTTATTATAGATCAATCACAATTCACCTATCGTAGAGTTTGGCTAAGACAAATCTTAAACAAATAAAAATATAAACAATAAATAAATAAAAGAAAACAATAACAAGACCTACAGTCATACAAATATTGAAACAAATGCCTTAACTTAGGAAATTTAGTCCCTTTGTTAAATTCTTCAATACAAATGTCTAAATTTAGTTTTTTAAAATTGTTACTATACACAATAAACTTAAAAGATTTTACCAAAATATATTATTAGCATATTTTAAGTTATTATATTAATAGAATTATCATCACTTAAAAATTAAAAGTTTAAGCGGCTAATAATACATAAAAAATTTAGGCTAGTTCTTCATTCTCAAAATTCCCAGGATTTATAAATTAAAAGATTTTAAATATTTACAAAAACGTGTTGTTTATAAACGATACTACCGATATTTGTTATGGTAAAGGAAGCGGCTTTCCTGAGAAGTTGGGAAGAAGAGAGTGGTGAGTGAGAGTGAGAAATCAGAAGAGAGAGAGAGAGAGATGGAGGTTGGATTCTTAGGTTTGGGGATAATGGGCAAGGCTATGGCAACCAACTTGCTACGCCATGGCTTCAAAGTCACTGTTTGGAACAGAACCCTCTCCAAGGTCTCAATACACATTCCTCCAACTTTTTCAAGTTTCACTTTTTTCTTTACTGTTACGTTTGTGTGTGTCCATACAATGATTTCTTTCAATAATACTGGTTCATTATTATGGTTAATATGAGTTTCTGCATTTTTTTTTTGTGTAATTTTAATTTGGGGTTCCGTAGAATAGTTTCTTCTCATATGTCATTAACCATACTTCAAGTTGCACAGAAAGTTATGAGCTGAGGTATTGCTCCTGGCGTTTTGGAATGCAGCTTAGCAAATTTAACTGTTTTCTTATAGATGATGTCAGACAAGTGACTTCAGAAAATTGTGATACAGATTTAGCTCTCTAAAATAAGGGTTAAGTAAGTAATCTCATCTGTTGTTGAGAAAATCAACTGTTGATATTGTCGTAAAAAAGCTGACAGAAGATAATAAAAGTAACAAACAAAGATTTCCCTAGATCACTGTCAACATTGTTACAACAATTTTAAGGACGCGATGTGTTATACAAGTTTTCTCATATACAACAGGAACTTCTTGATAATTTCGAGGATACAAAACTAGCAAGTAATAACGAAACCTAGGATATAAAGAAGATAAGAGAAGTTAGAAGAACCGAGAATAAAGTTCGTGGAATAATATTTCTTTTTGAGAGGGAAGAAAGAGCTTGTTTTTGGTTATCCTCTTGGAATGAGGTGCTCTATTTATAGAGCTATAATCAGAAGGGTAACGACCCAATGGTCAAGACTTGCGGACTACTCTTTGCATAACGGTTTTGACAAACATTCATCAGCACAAAAGGAACAGTGTTTTGCAATACTTACCCAATGAGTATAACAGATATTACAGCACATCCATTTTTTGTTGTGATGGTTTGTGTAACATCAATTTTTAATTCTTTTATTGGATTCCTTAGTTTACCTTCAGACATGAGTTTTAGTTTAGATATACTTTGTTGTCAGCAAATTAGAGTGTTTATTAACTATGGAGCTCTCAATATATGTGTTGGCTTAGCAACTTTCTGATTGTAGTGTGAAGAACTTGTGCAACATGGTGCTTCTGTTGGAGAAACGCCAGCTACTGTAGTCAAGAAATGCAAGTATACAATTGCAATGCTATCTGATCCTTCAGCTGCTTTATCGGTCAGTTGTTGTGAATATTATTTTAACTAACTTCTTTTTTAGCTCTTATATTAATTCTGTTTGTGGTGACTTTCTAGGTTGTGCTTGATAAAGATGGTGTTCTTGATCATATTAATGGAAAAGGTTACATTGACATGTCAACAGTGGATGCTGATACATCCTCCAAGATATCTGAGGTTGGTATACCCAGCTGATGTTGTGATTTGTGTAAAATGTAGTCTGTCTACTTTTCCAAAATTTTTCTACAGACTCTTGTTGCTAAACAGAAACTTGTAAATTAAAGAGAGGTTGCATCTAGTAATGTTGCATGACTTCATTTTCCATATTGCCCAGGGTATTTTGTGTGAAAATTTGTATCATTTTTGTTCTGTATTCTATTTCATCTTCGAGGACCCCATTTTATTAAGTATTTTATAGCCGAGAAACATTGCTCTAATCCTCCCTCTTCTCTCTCTTCCCCTGGTTTGAAATCAGAATAATGTAATTTAGTTTGCAGTTTAGCTTGTGGGGATGTCGTGCATTGCAAGTTTTTATCTAATGATAAGTTTGTGATGATGTCATTATCTAGTATTTGGCCATTCAAAATTCCCGTATAAAGGAAGTTAAATTATCTGGGGAGTCAACAGTACTGGGGATTTGTTTTTGAATGAGGAATAGTTGATATGAAGTTAAGCTTTCCCAACCGTTTAAATGTGAATGGGAATGCTATATATTACATTATTTGCAGATTCTTGCTGTAGAACGTTTGAACATCTGCAACCCCTAAATAAATAAATATATGCTTCGTTATATTTGTCCTTTTGTGATATATGCATTGCTTAGGTTATTGTAGTATACTATCTTTGCCAGTTCATACTATATGCATAAGATGGTACTACACATTTTACCTACTCAACCATTCGAATGGAAAGAAATCCATATGCAAGTTGCCATTTACAGACCTGATTTCAACAGGCTATCAAAGCAAAAGGTGGTTACTTCCTTGAAGCTCCTGTTTCGGGTAGCAAGAAGCCTGCAGAAGATGGCCAGCTGGTTATACTTGCCGCAGGAGACAAGGTATTTCTAAATGTTATTCTGTAAATTGTTGATAAATATTCTTTGCGAGCTTCTTTTTTTCCTTTAACTATGCGAGGGCGATGAAATATTCAGATGTCTCTTCTCTCCATCAAATGACCTGTTTGCATGACTGGATGTTTTCAGAGTATAAGATGCATAAGATATATCAGCAACCCGATAATGCCCTCAAAACCTTTTAATGAATGTATATTGATGATCAGTGTTCTCCTGGAGTATTCTGTTGATATCCCAAAAGAAAATTTGATGTATATTTGAGCTATTTAAGCAATATCTAGTGTTGTAAAATGCAATCCGATGACAATAATGTGAAGGTAACATCTTCAAATTATGGAAACATCTTTTGCTTATTGTTATTCATGTTGGGTACAAACAAAGTTCCACATCGCATAAATATGAAATACACATGGGTTTATATACACATAAGATACATCCCTTAATAAAGGTCTTTTAGAGTGGTATCAAAAGCAAATCTGTGAAGGCTTAGCCCAAAACGGACAATATCTTACTAATGAGGAGACCGTGTATATTGAACCTACACAATACCTGGTATCAGAGCCCATGTTGTGAACCAACTATTCCTTAAATTTCAGTTGCAAAGGAGTTATTATAAATGGGTAAAACATCCTTTTTTTTTCACGAAGGTTAGTCATGAGCTTAACTTAAAATAAAGTTATTATAGAGAGAGAGAAATGGAGAAGTAAGCAAGGTTGCAAGACAGATGTGTCTGGTGCCCTCAATTTATGTAACATATAAAGGGTGGCCAATGCAGTTTTACCCCACCAAGAAGACTGTTTCTAGGTTTTGAACCCACTGACTTCCTATTCCAGATCACAAGGTAGTGCCTATGCTCCTCATCTTGTGTAACATGTGTACAATTAAAATAAGAATATTGTTTTTGATGGGTTGGAACCCCTTGCAATTATTGCAGCCATTTAGAAGGAGAGATAAAAATAAAGTTGTCTCACAATTTAATATTAGTAGGACACTGGTGCTCTTTTTATCTTTTGGGCCTTTTCTCTCCCATTGGTATTTTAAGTGTTGTACGGGCCAATGGAAATAGTCATCTATTGGTAGAAATGTGTATATTCTATAGTATTGATGCTAGTTCAGTGAAGGAGCAACCATAGTTAACCTTTTCTAAATTTAGTATGAAGGTTAGGCAATGTATTTGCAGTCTGGGAATGTCCTGATAGAATTTTGTAAATTAAATGTTTCATGCCTTCTTCGTTGTATGAGCCCTTAATAGAACGTGTGAATAACCTGCAAATCACACTTCAAGCCCGTTGAGGCAAGCCATAAACTAAAAGAGAAAGAGAAAAATTCTCGCCAAGAAAGCATTACTATGTTGTCAGATATCTGTTGAAGTTGGGTATGTAATTTTGACGTTAGGCTTTGTTGATGTCGTGTATGTTGGGAGCTGTGACCTGTGTGAAATATGCAGTTTGAGTTATTTGTTTTTGTTCTGGTTCAATTAGATTTATTCTTTGATTAGGATTGATTGGTCAAGCTTGTAGTATTCGTGTTGATGTCTGATAAACTATAATTCGCCTCAAGTTTATGCATATAATGGTTTTCCCATTTAATGTAGTATTGGGTCGACCAAGAATCAATCCAAGGATAGAGCAATCAATTAACTAGCTATAGTGTGTGTGATGTTATTTTAGTGGGGAACTAATCTATCTAAACTTATTTACTATACACACACACTAAATGATATGCTAAAATTGCTAAAACAGAATGCAACCTAAATCTGATCCTAAGCTAGTGCTAGCATGCAAGATGAACTATAATTATTTATTTTAGCTTTTAAATGCAAATGCAACGTCTAGGATGATTATATGCATGTATGAAATACCAAAACTAACTAATCCTAAAAAAACCTGAACTCTAACAATACCTAAAATGATGTAGAAAAGGTTATACACAAAGTGTTTGATGAAATTCCTGAGAGAAACCTAAATGCACCCTAAGTGTTTGATGAAATGTTGGTGTGAATGGAAGTGGAATTATGCCGTGCTAAGCTACAGAAATGTTATCAACACTGAATAAAACTAAAACCTATGAACAAAACAACTAAAGTCTACCTAAAATACCTAATTCGAACTGAAATGTGATAAAACTCGAAAATGAACTATGGAATGGCTGTGAATATATGCGAAAAACAATTCTGTAGCGTATTGAAGCAATTATATGAAATGGATGATACAGAACACTCATACAAGAATATAATCACTAAAAGGAACTGAAAATTTAGCCAAGAATCAAGTAATTCGAAAATCCATAACTATGAACCCTAGATAACGAAAATAAGTCTCAGTGAAATTCACTAAATACTACTTCTAATGTGATGCGAATTGAATCTTGGAGGTTGTGGAAACATGTACAGCACAGAGAACAACACAATTCAACAGCAAGAATGCATGGAAATGCAATACCGACGTACGAATGGAACTGTACACAAAAAATGGAATTAACAGTCAAACCAGGTATTTGCTCCTAATCAATTTCAACTGGATTGAATTTCTGATGTTCAAGAGCCGCTATGTGCTTCTTGAATGAAAGAAAGGCCTCTATGTGCTCGTTGTATTACAGCAAAGACTATGCATTTGCTATAATGCCATTATACAGAAATTTGATCAAGTTAATCTTGAATACTAGCGAAAATGGGATTTGCCATGCAAGAAACTGAAAACATGTTTAACACTACAATTGAGTAAAACAATCAGTTTGAGTAGTCCAGGAATGTTTATATCTTCAAGAGTAAATCTCTTTACAATGAAAGAAATTGAAGAAATGCTGTTAAATGGCATGTCTCTAGCTTTCTATGTTCAGCAATTTTGAATCTTTTCTTCTCTGCCCAAGCTTCGTCCACAAATCTCCAGAACTCCACCCCTTTATTCTATTACAAATTTCCTATTTATATCTAGCTACCTCTAAATTGGTTTTACCTACAATTACAAGTCAAAGAGACTTCCTACAGCAGGTAAACATTGGTGCAGCAGCTCCTTTCAAGTACATTTGATAATCCTGGTTCAGCAGGTCGCTGGTTTCCAGGTTAAGGTTACTTCAGCCTTCAAAAATGACTATTAGAATTCTTCACTTGCTGCAGCTCATGATCCAGCCCTTCTCCAGTCATATAACAGCAGGTCCAGCAGCTGATGGAGTTCAAAACTAGTGCAGGTTGTCCTGGTTTTATTCTAGCTTAAGTGCTTTGATCACCTTCAATTGTAGGTCAGCGTTCCTTAACTATTGCATCTGGAACCTATCAAAGGTTGGAATAGTTTCGTGAAAAGGAAGCTCTATGTACTGCTGCAATTATTCATTAATAAACTGAGAAAACATTAACTATTTAAGCTACGAAAATATATTATACGATACTATAATGTTAACAGTCTAACCTGCCAAGAAATAAAAGATATTAAAAACTTGGTTAGCAGCAACTACTACCTAAGCTGGAATTAACCTTCAACAAAGTAAAGCTAGATACAATTTTAAACCGAAAACAGCAAATGTGATTAACTATCCT